GAGAGAGAGAGAGAGAGAGAGAGAGAGAGAGAGAGAGAGAGTGGTCGGCCTGCTAATCGATTTTCCCGAGAAAATAAAAAACAGTACTTCCACTATGGACTATCATTCCCATTGCTGAACAAGTTTCGACTATTCAATATTCTTGAGTTCTCGCTGGTTCATTTTCGAAGACAGTCGCTCACCGATTCTTCTCGNGAGAGAGAGAGAGAGAGAGAGAGAGAGAGAGAGAGAGAGAGAGTGGTCGGCCTGCTAATCGATTTTCCCGAGAAAATAAAAAACAGTACTTCCACTATGGACTATCATTCCCATTGCTGAACAAGTTTCGACTATTCAATATTCTTGAGTTCTCGCTGGTTCATTTTCGAAGACAGTCGCTCACCGATTCTTCTCGTGTAGGACCGCTTCAGTGAAATATATTGCGACCGTTGCACCTACACAGAATACATGCTCGGAATTCAACAGTGCTGATGTTTTCGCGGACGAATGGCTGAGACAAGGTTGTTAATGTGGAAACGATAATATAGTATAAAACACGGAGAATTCCTTGACTTTTTCTCGATTAACTATTCAACTCACCTTCGATTCCTACTGGAAGTAAATTTCCTTTGACGAGTTCGGGAGATCGAGGATGTCTCGGGGGGAATGGATGTAGCTGGACGTCTCGCTTAGTCTCGTCGCAACGGTTGCTATCGAACTGATCGTTGAAACGGATCGTCAGGATACTAATATTCAGGGGCATAGATATACATATGAACGTGAACCCATGATCCAGATGCGTTGCATTGGGGAGATTCTGAATCACGTGATCCGTCGCATGTTTAGAACCGTGGAACGTGCAACTCCCGGTTGTAAATCGATTAGATTAATTTAATCGCCGCCTAAGGTGCTCTGAACTACTTCTACCGGAACTGTTACATCCGTTTCTTCGTTTATTATGTTACAGATGCTGTGTTCGAACAAATTTATCGGCAACGTTCCTACGAAAGTTCAATGGAGCATCAGGACATGTTGTTCAGACAATTTTTCAGCAAGGATAATGTGAATGACGATAGTGGGTCATTACAAAACGAGAGAGGTAGAAAAAAGGCAGATTGACGTACGCTAATAAACTAGACAAATTTTTATTTCGTATCGATGCTCGTCATCGTCGTCGTTTTATATCCTGCATAGTAGTCGATAGAAAAATATTAGTTTATCGATAGCCTCTCGTTCTCGTTCTATATCTGTCGCTAATCTATTTATCAATATCCTCGTAATTTCGATAATCGTATGCTGTGATCAAAAACAAGGAATACGGTGAACCTCTTTGAGATCAGAGTTAAAGTAATTATAAGGGATACCCTTCGATGAAACGTTTAAGGTATCCATTCGACTTCGTTGGTCTCGTAGGTCCTGGTGATCGCTGCTCTAGTGTTCTCCTCCGGTTTGGTCGTGCTCTTCTCCTCGCTTCCGGTCAACTTATGGTACACTTTGCTTCCCGCACTGGCCACCCACTGCACTCCGTCTCCAAGTTTTTCACCGGTTTTGCGAACCGCGTTGCCAATGTTTTCCGCCGTGAACGTGTTAGGATCCACGTTGATGTCCAAAGTGTTATTACCTTTAGGGCAATCCTTTTGCGAGACTATGCTTAACTCGAAAGGATCGACACCGAAGTTGCTCAACTGGAAGCGCAGCTTGTCCAAGAAACTTTTGTCCAATTCTTTGTGTCTAGAGAGAAGGGTCGCGCTCTGGCGATGAGCGAACGCTAACTTTTGACATGTGAAAATGCCCGCATAATTATCATAGTCGGTGGCAAATACCACGTGGGATGCGCTTCCGGCAACACCTACAAAAAAATTAATTTCATTAATTTCCGGAGGATTATTGGGTAACATAAGTAAATTAACATTGAAGTTGTTTGAAAGACAATATCAGCCAAGAGGAAGAAATGCTTCGGTAATTTGCATCGAGCTCAATTACGCCTTATGCTTACTTAGAGGAAAACGGACTTGCATCCGAGCAGCAACGTTCGGGTCCGGAACGGATAATTCACCGGTGTAATGGTACTCGTGCTTTAATGGCGTAAGACCTGCGCATAGAGGCATCGTTTTATTACGGATAATTCATCCCACTTGCCAGGTAGTTATCCTATTGACATGCTTTTATGACTAACCAACGATGGCACCCATCGTTATGCTTCTTTATTAACTAAGAGGTTTCCAGTAATATATACAATCGACCCATGATGACCTCTACTATCATAGCCAAAACCTTGTCCTTCTTCAAGTTCTCTCAGGAGCATGCATCGATACATTTCAAATTCTGTAAATCTTATTGATCTTACCTAATATCGGATGATCAGAATGTTGCCCGATAATGTACTCGCCCGGCTCTTCCCCGCGAGTATAGTTGTAAATGATACATTTGCTGGCTGTCTCCGTTTTTTGAATTACGTACCACACACCCAGGAACTAAAAATGACAAAACTTCATTCGTATAACGCATTAATTTTTCGACCTCAAGTTTGAGTTTGAATTTTCAACTGACTCTACTCATTTGAAATCCTTGCAACGGCTCGACGAGCGGGCATGCGCCCATGTGGTACGAGTGGGCTTTAGCGAAAGCGAAGCATCCCACCATTAATAATAAACAAGATAACCCCTTCATCTGAAAATAAAATCCATTAAAGTTCATTCGTTGCAGAGATAAGTGTATCTAATAATAGATCGCGGAAACTTACAAGAAGTGCATTGACAAATTCAAAAGAAAAATTTCTTTCTGTCATTGCTATTTTTCGAACATTTTTATAAATCACGAGTACAGAAAGTTCCGCAGTTTGTTGCCGAACAATCGTTTCTAATTCTATCCGGCCTTCGTACTTTTCAACACTGATTTCAAAACCGGAATTTCAAGAAAAAGCTTTATCTACTGGCACCTTTGACCTCGGTCCTAGAAACTTCGGTCAACAGACCAAACTACTTTCTGTATCTAAATCTAGATCTATTTATACGTTTGCTTCAATTTAAATAGTCTCATTATTTATGTTGTAGATTCCGCAAAAATCGTTCGTTGATTATTACAACGAACAAAAATTTAAATATATAGCGAAACTACGTCCTTCGGTCTTATATAAAAACGAGAACACTACAGATCATAATGTAAACCCTGGTGATCTTGATTCCTTTGTCGCGGAGATTCCTTCTTTCTCAAGAAGTATTCAACATGTACACGTTTACCATAATCAATATATATGAACAATATATGCTCTTAACATAGTGAAAGCTGCGAAGTCAGATAAATGCGCAATATTTCGTCTTTATGTAACCGACTAACAGATTTTACATTTCGGTATTTCACGACGTTGCTTCCAACAGGATTTTTCTGAGATCGTTTTCGTATATGTACTTGGCAGTTAACATCTATTTCTGTGTATGTAGTTCAATAAAGCCAGTAGAAAAAGAAACTACTATGCCTCTAACAATGGAATGCTTTGTTCCAAACAACTCAGAACTTGTTTAGCGATTTCTTTGTCTAGAATTATATAGAGCAATCGTTCAATCGTCTTAAAAATTTGTAAATTTAAATAAATTAATTGAAATATAGTATTCTGTCAAGAGACAGCCTTATTCAGAAGCCAGAGAAAGTGTACTTACGGTGATGTGGTATTGTCAAACTCTGAACTGGTACTGTAAACACCAGACTGAAGGAGGATTTTATGAAACGATCCCCACTCTGATCCAATTGTGAGACGCGCGCTTTGAATGGACTTGTGACTGGTTAGTGAACACGTTACTCTGAAAGAACTTGAAATAATTGACTCATGTCTCCAGTTTATCTTTTCTATATATCGTTTTCTTGTGGCATTGTGATACTACATAATACTTCCTTATTGATTTCCTGATCATTTCTAGCTCATATAAAGATCATATAAAACTTTATGGGAAATCTTGGTGAAATACTAACATTTGTTTAAAAGTGTTAAGGGCCGGGTACTGATTCATACTTCTACAATGCTGCACAACATGAGTCATCTTCTCCATAAGCGAATCTTGTTGTTCATTCTGAGAACTGGTAATGCCCACGAAGAATTTCATTTTCCTTCTAACATCAATGTAACTTAATTGTTAAAGACTGAAATCGGAGAAGTTTACTTTTAGATGAAACATTTACGGTTATTATTTATAATAAAATTTCAAATCTCTCGCATTCAAATCGACCTGTAAGATACAAAGTTAATGATAAAACTTATTAAGTGCCATTAAATTAATACTTTCGTCGTTTATTTGATTATAAAAATACAGAAGATATGCGTGGACAAAACTGAAATATTTTAACGCTATATGTATAGACATAGCAATAACGAAATATTTTTAATTAAATTACTAACTTTATCTTACCTATCTTGTAGCAAAAAAAAAGCAGAAAGTTAAAAAACATTGTCAAATTTTTGTGAAAAACTTAGGTCACCCACATACTCGATCAAATTTTAACTTAAATCAATAAACGATAAGGGCAAATAAAACGTTAAAATGAATGCTAGATGTTAAAATGACGGTTGTTTCTTTTATAACATTGTTAATATTATCAAAATGTAATTACTAGACTACCGATCTTTATACAAAATAACTATTTTCAAAAACGATTGTACGAAAAAGAAATTAAATAAAAATAAATTGTTCCTTTTAATATTTTCAATATGCCGAAAATAGTTTAACAATATCATAAAATTGTTCTCATATCTTCGCAATTCTACATATCAGCTATTCATTTTAAATGTAGAGTCTAGTAATTGTAGTGCAGTATGAAATAATTGTTCCATTCATGAATGTCCCATCATATTTGATACGCTATGTTCTAACGTCGGAATAAATTAGCTTGCCGGAATACCCTGAGATATATTCCCTATATAGTCACATGATAAAAATGTCACAAAATCTGAGCAACATACAATCAACCATCTCTTATACACATACAACCATTCCTTCGTATTCTTCAATTTTTTGCTGTCGGCAATTTATTTAAATTTAAATCATCGAAAAACGGATGCGTCAGAATAGCTCGTGCAGATATTCTGTGTGTGGGATCATAAACAAGCATAGCTTCCAATAGATCAAGCCCATCATTATCTAGCACTTTTACTTGTGATTTTAAATTATTAGTTATCCAATTTGGAAATGTAGCCTTATAATCTGATAATTGAGTTACACCAGGCCATATTTCTTCGGTAGGTGTCCTTAGTATACTGCAACATAATTATTATTTATTATTATTAATTAACATAATATATTGCAAGGATATATCATAAATATATTATACCGAAATATTCTGAACAACTGATCGATCTCACTGTCTCCCTGGAACAGTGGCTTCTTAGTTGCCATTTCAGCAAATATACATCCTATGCTCCATATATCAATAGCACAAGAATATCTACTGGCACCTAAAAGTATTTCTGGTGCTCTATACCACAAAGTTACTACCTCGTGCGTATATACCCTAACTGGTATGCCAAATGCTCTTCCAAGACCAAAATCAGCTACTTTGATGACACCTGCTTTGTCGATCAATAGGTTTTGTGGCTTTAAATCACGATGTAATATTCTACGTTTGTGACAGAATAATATTGCAGAAGTAATCTAAAATAAGGTATAATTAGAACATACATTCAGTCTGCTTTGCATTTTATTTAATATCTAGAATTTAATGGAATAAGAAGTGCCTTGAACTTAATAGTATGTTTGAACTACTATATTAGAACATAAAATGCTTCCGACAAAAAATATTTTTATCATAGAAAAAAAGTCAATAAATTTGGTATAGAAAACATAAAAAATATGATTCTCTAAAAAAGTAGTTTTAATACACCCTTGATCCATGCTCTAGATATGTATACTGTTGTAGTCTCCAACCTGATACAGATAAGATTTAACCATTTTAGGCTCCAATAGTTTTCCACTACCTAGACTGTCCATGTACTTTTTTAGATCCATAGAAAGATATTCAAAAATAAGATACAACTTGGTTTCTTCCATTAGCACATCTATTAATCTGACAACATTAGGGTGTTCTAATTCTTTGAGCAATGAGATTTCACGAATTGCTGTAGATGGTATTCCTTCATCATCAACTTCCAATCGAATCTTCTTCATTGCAACAATTTCTCCTGTTTTCTTGTGTTTGCCTTTGTAAACTACTCCATAAGTTCCTAAAAAAATCCTTCGCTGTACTGCTCATATTATCTTACAACGAATAATATTTCTTGCCAATAGAATTTATTTTACCAAGAAGATGCACATATACTAGAGAAATAATTAACTTGCAAATGAACAGAAAAGAAATATTTGTAACTGCAGATGATGAAGATCAATCACACTCTAACCAACAACACAAAAAGTTCTGCAAAACTCGATAAAAGAGAAATAAATTAGAAAACCATGACCTGCAGAGAAAGCATCGTCAAATCACCTTCACCGATTTTCTCGATCTTTACGAAGTTCTCCATGGCGAAGGTATAATCGTATATCCAAGGCTGATTGATGTCCAATCCTAGCTTGGAAATATCAAATTTCGTAAGTACTAGAATGCCACAGATGTACGAACTTTGTAACGATTCTTCGCGTAACTATCAAATTCAAATGTCGGTACGCCATGTATATAGTGTTCGGGCAACGTCGGAATTAGTCGGATATTTCCCAGCCAATGAAAATTGTTGTTGCCATGACTACGAGTGCAGTCGGGCGCAGGTGTTTTCCCAAAGCCCGCCTTTTTTCTCGCAAAATTGTTTGAATTATTTGCTTCATTATAAATTGTTATAAATACTTTCACAAGAGTAGCAGGATAGGTAAGAAGTAAAAGAATATACTATAAGATTTACCCGAAATTTATTTCAAAAGAAAAAACAAGAAAGCAAAGCCATCTTTAGCAATGTATTTGATGTGTGTTTGTACAGACAGCGTATAGATACAATTAACCTATGAATCTCTTCGAACTGACATCGTCAACATCGGTACGACATTCTGACAAATTTTTCATTTTTCACACTTTGTAGTAATCCTAGTAGGGAGTTAAATTACTATATTATTCGTAGCGTTAAAGATTTACAGTGTTCTCTTTAGCTTCTCTATAATCAGAAACTAATTAAGGATAATCATAATCGAGAGCACCGAAATTCTCTGCAGAGGTTAACAAATTTATTTCCAATGTATACAATATAATTACATATAACTCTAACAAGATCTTTCGGACCCTTATTTTATAAGTCTAGTAATTATCTCTATATAGTCACTATTTATAACACGTTTTTTTCAAATCAATACTCTGTCTTGCAATCGATCTGAGAAAATTGCCGGACTAATGATAAAACTTATTGGTTGCTTCTGTGTGATCAACATTGTTAATAGTGACCACATATGCGAATTTTTTCATTGTACTTATCGTGGAAATTGGTAACCACCGGTGGCATAGCCTAATCCAACACCACGTTGCGTATGAGTAGTAGCACGGGCTACTTCATATTGTTGTTCCATATTGTTAAACATTTCTTCTTGTTTCTTTAATATGTCTGGCTTAGCCCCTGTAGTTGTAGTAGTTGGTAGATCGTCTTTAATGCCCATCAGTCGCTTGAATTTTGCGGTTACTTTACCATCCTGATCATGAGTGAATGTTGTACCCACCCACGTATTCGCAGTTGATGCTGCTGTGGATGTTTTGCCTTCGTCTTGCTTTGACTACAAGTAGAAATTTTATAAAAAGGTAAGACTCGTTTGATGAAATAGGAAAAGACACATAGGATAGAAATCCTACCTTGTTTGCCCATAGAAGCTTTCTTTTTTGTATTTGTTCAGCATATTTTCCTTGTGTTGCAGTTGCTAGAGGATTATAATAATTCTGTTCGTTCTGTATACCGGGTGTGGGAGTATCCCCTCCTTCTGGTGCTTTCAATTCGATTCCTAATTTCTCTAATTGAGCTAACTTATTCCTGCTTTTCTCCTCTCTGTAGCTCATCGTGCGGAAAGGTGGTGGTGCACGATCCCTGGACCTTGACCTCGATCGTGTACGATCCTTCTCTTTGTGATAATTAGATCTGTCGTCTCGGTGTCTGTCCTTCGACCTATCATCCCTAGAATGCCTGCGATCTCGATCCCTGTCCCTATCTCTGCGCCTATCTCTATCATTTCTGTCCCGGTTGCGGTCCCTTCTATCATCACGGTAGTGATGGTCTTTGTCATTCTTTTCTCTGTCGTCGGCCTTCTCATCCCTAGTAGAGCTCAGTGAACTCTTCTCCTTCTTCTTGTCATCGTCACGAGACTTCCTCTCCTCATCTCGACTCCTTTTTATGTCCCTACTATCTCTGTGACTACTTTCTCGTTGCCTTCTATCGTCGTAAGATGACCGGCGTCCCTTGTCACTCATGTGTCTATTACGATCGGACCGATCTCCTCGCTTGTGCTCGTCTTTTGAATTTGCTGAATGATTTTCATGATCAGATCGCCTGTAAAACGATTACGTTCTGCAGGGTATACCACACAGATTCGTATTATTATTCTGTATGTACTTATGTGGTAAATATGTTGCAAGTTTCTCTTATAAATTTACATATAGAAGCAGCATCGAACAAAGCAAATGATTTTGTTTTTAAAGGAGAATGTGCTTATAAACAACAAACCAGCTCACCTCTGGTCTGAGGGGGAAGGTAATGCTCGAGATGAGTCTGTCTTTGACTGTGTAACTGGACTTGCGCGTTCGCTACTGGATTCTCTGGACGAATTGTTGTTGTTACTTTCCTACAGAAATAAAAATAATCCACATTACTATACACTTTTCACACATCAGTAAATGAAACATAGATCTTTATTTATATTGCAAAAACTCTATATTATAAATTGTCTTTCAGTACCCTCAATTTTAGCAAAATTCAATGTTCCTAGTACTGCAACTTTATATCCGCTAGGTGCAATATATACATACATCCACACATCTTCATAATATTAAACAGAAAATTGCAGTCTCAAAAAATATTGAACTTTACAGCCATATTCAAATGAATAAATCCTAATTTTTAATGCGCTTAACACTAAGAATTTTCAGAATAATAAGTTGTTTTCTTACAGCCTTGGTTGTACTTGATACAAAAGTTTTATTCCATGTATAAATCTTTATCTTCTACAGTTTCATTGTAAAAGATAAATAGGGATATGAGGGCCCTTCGTGTTTGTCTGCTTTAGCAGTTAGTTATTACCCAAATGTGTTTGTACATGTGGTTTCTTTGATGGTTGATTTTTTGTTAGTGTTACCTTCTTCCAGCTTCCTCTACTCACCTCTCTCTGCTGAATAGGACTTGGGGTAGTCTTGAAAGACCCTCACACAGCATAGACCTTGCCGAGGTGCGTAGATATTGTATCATGTATTACCAACAGAGCTACGTGTTAATATTTTCTCACGAAATGGCACTAGTCCCGTTTACTTATTATTTAAATTCTTAATATTTCAATGTTTAACCGCATTGTTTCAACCAGCTGATAATTTGGGCTTTAAAGTTATGGTGAAAATATTTTAGAATGCGAAAAAACCAAGTCTTGTATCGATAATACATTGCAATACGAACAAGACAATATTTTATTGAAAATGTATTATGTAAATGCAAAAGGTGGCCAAGAGAAACTTATACAGGATAAATTAATTAATTTAAGAACCATACTAAAATAGAGAAATCCTAATGTTTAATTTTTTGTATATATTTAATATAAAAAAATGCAATGGAAGTACTGCGGTAGAACTATATTTCAATACGATGATTCTGATATGACCTCCAAAAACCAAGTACAAGATCTTTTATGTAACAGCTATATGATCCTAGGTGTTTATACAGCCTCGTAAAGTCATCAAGGTCCTAGTAGTTGTTGTAATGTTTTGTACTTATTACTATGAAAAAGCATGTGCAAACATTCAGTTCCACTGTACCTCACTCATGTCCATTTGTACCGGATCGTAATTAGCATCGCTGGCTCTCTTGCTAGCATCGTTGTGCGTTTCGTACGGCATCTTCGAAAAACAACATTCATCATGAAACGATTAATAACTTATAAGCTATAAACGCCTAATAAATTATTGATTTATTCTTACCACTAGCATCAGCTTAATACTAACATTAGCGAATGATCTATATAAATTTATATAAATGTACTGCATCCATGCAGATTGCTAACTATAAAAATTATATCTTAATAATCTATTACATGCAACCTTGTAATAGATGCGTATAATAGATAGGGACAAGCGCAGTAACCAAAAGGTGGTTACGATCGTGAATCGATTAATTAATATTTTATAACAACGGGAAACGAATCTAAAACATTTATTCGTTGAAAGGTTTTCCTGAAATCATAAAGCTTTCCTACAATCGCAAAGACTATCCTAGAAGCCATGTCGTGAATGTATGTATACTAAAATATTCCTGAAGCGTCATGGATGTCGAGGCGAAGTTACTATCGACCATCTCGGGATAGAATTTACAGATATATACTCACCTTTGAATCGTCTGAATTGTTGCTATTGTCTCCGTCACTAGCGTAATTTGCTAACGAGTCCATAATGGCGTAAATTCGTAAATACAGGGCACGAACTATTTGAAATATTATCGTGACTATCGGTAGCACGGCGATCTTAGGTTGCCTTGAGCGAAAACGCCATTGGTCGAGAATGTTTGACCAGCATCGTATCGTGCTTTCATAGCGCTTCCATCGAATGGGGTTAGCGAAGCGGAAGTGGAAGGAGAATACAGGAAATGCGGTGTGTCGTATAAAATTAGGCGCGAACCCGAAAATATTCGATCACACAAATTCCATCCAGTTAACGGTTAATAGAATTATCATGATCACAAAAATTGTTTCTCACTTTGCCAGACTAACGACTTACTATTATTCCCGCTAAATAATAAATGTATGGAGGAACTCTTTTTATAGAATACAAGATGGATACAATTAGGATGTGTTTGTTTTCCCTACTACACCAATTAAGAAAGTAAGACTTTCGCAATCATGAATAATAATAACGAGCTATACTAGCAAATGTTCATTGAAGAATTTACAATAAATATTAGAATTACATTATTCATGTTTGAAATTTTAATTTATGATAATTCAATGTTTTCTTACTTCATTTCCTAAAACTCTTTATAGTTTGTCCGATAGGAACATTTGTTGTAAATTTAAATATCAAAATATGGAGCGAGTTAATCTTAATTGAAAGTTTCGAGATAATAAAAATCACTATGACAGTGTGAATTGCATCCCTAAAATCTGTTCTACACAAATTTAAATAGAAAATAATATTTAATCAAATATTGTAATGGTTGTTGAAAATTAATCGTTTTCGATGAATTATTACGCAGTCGACTTGTCATAAGGTAGCAACTATCGTTTGACAGCTATAGAATAATCCTATGATTTATGAGAGATCGTCGTATACGTTTTTTTTTCACATGGATTTCCAGAGGGTATACGAAAGGTGCGCAAAAAGGTATTACGATGGTGGGTACAGGTAGAGAGCTGTTCGCATTGACGTTTACGCGCGGAGAAGCGCGAGCCGGCGTGCTGGGAACGAGTGAACGAACCGGGACGCAACAGTCGCTCAGCAGACTTCGTGCTGGAACCGTCGTTCCGGAGGTGGAGATTTCGCGCCACTTTCTGATCCCGTTCGTCCCGTACCTGTTACTGCACACAAGAGCCGAGGAAAAAGTTCAACGAACCTGGTCTCCCGGGGGTGAGTGATGCGTCTAAGATTTCTTTAACACCGTAATCGCGACGGACACCGTGAACACTGTAAACATCGTAAGAGCATCGTTAGCCCAAATAGCAACCCTTTCGAAAGGATCGAAGTATGTATTCGGTGCATACGACCTGTCCGTCGATTCTCTCGCAACACTTGAGATCTACGTGACCTCGTTTTCAGCTTGAAATCATAGTCAATTGTTTTTAACAAACGACATCCTTCGCTAGTGCGTTAACTGTACCGCGAACGTGTCGCAGCAACAACTTACGCATTTTACACGCTCTTCCTTTAATTAATTTCTCTCCACCGGGACCGGATTCAAGTGACAGAAGCATCAGTGACGTCTGTGATTAATGCTATGGTTCGTTCACACGCGGATCCGGGCTGCTCGGTATCAATGGTTCCTCGATTGATCGCGGCTGAAAATTTTTTGAAATTGAATGAAAATTGTTATATATAAAAATAAAATAATATCGGAGAGTTTTACAAAAACAATCTCGATCAGGTTATAAAACGGTGAATCTTTCGAGACGCAATTCACGTTGCGAACGCGATGTTTACAATCGGACTTTTCTATCGACCGCATCTTGTATCGTTTGCACCGAGATGGAAATTGTCGATTGTTCACCATCGATCATAATTTCTATGATGGCGTAACGAGCTATTCCGTTGATCGGACCGTCGAAACGACCGCGATAGGATATTCGATTGAAATCAAAATTTCTACGGCTACAATACCTTAATCGAATGCGAACCTGTGTATATATGTAGATACATGTATTTATTTCAGTGACAGGACCATTATTTTACCGCGATTAGAAGTCGGTGGACACGTGTGGAGAGTGTTTATTTCTCGGAATCGGGTAGAGAACATTTACAAAGGTGTGTACATACCATATTCAGCGTTCGATATTTAAATCAAGCGATATCTCGATTTATGCGTCTTATAATTTCTATCGAGTGCTTAGGAATCAATCATCCTACTTATCGGTGGATCTAATCGGGATTAACCGTAATTTATGAAGCCCCAACGTTCTCACAAAACTAGGTTCCAGTGAGTGCGTGTAGTTTTAAATAACTGCTATTCCTTTAACACAATACTATTATTATCAGTAGGAAGAAAATTGTGGCTCGGGAACAAGATCTACTACTATCTAATAACCGGGTATGTTCTTCGATTCGTATTTGTGTTGCAACTTTTGTGATTTAGTATATCGATCCGAATCTAGGTACCATGCGGTTCCAAGCGGTAAAGCTTGATTTAGAGACACGTGAAGATGAGGGGAACCATCGTGACCAGAACTGGGTAAAAATCTTTGAAAAAGTATTGCAAATAAATAATGAAAAACACTCTTGTTTGTATGGAATAATATTTCAAGATTTTATTTGACGTCGTATAGATAAGTATACACATGTATTCAGATGCACATACTGGAAATAATTTCGATCGATGTATTTACCGGATGAGATTGCTGGACTTCTTGTAAATACTTCTGCCGTTTATAACCGGTCGGTAGATATCTTCGTTTTGAACGAATGTTGCAGAAACGAATCGTCGAGCTTTAGGGATATTCAGGTGATATTATTAGTGCCAAATATAACATTATTTCTCAATGGAGAAGATTGAGTCGACTCCGGAAAGAAATAACGAATCGAATCCAGTTAACGGAGAAACTTTATAATAACTTTTAGACATCTGCCAGACGACTTGTTCAACTCGTTCGAAATTCTCGCAGCTACGGAGGCTTGTTTGCGCGCGTTTCTTCCGGGCTGTAGACTAGGATTCGTTAATTCGGAAAAGCTTTTCAGTCCTTTGAAAAGATTGCAACTCGTGGAAGGTGAACGCTTTAAGGTTACTTCGATTCGTCCTCCTATCCTATTCTCCCCCTTCCCTTCCTACCACCCCTTTGTTTTTCTTTCTGTTTAATGGAAGAAGATACATTAGCTGATCGAGTATTCGTTGTGTATGTTGCGTCGTAGTAGCAATTGAAATCTATCCGTCAGAAACAGTTGAACGCTTGTTATGTTTTAGGCGGGATCAGAAACAAAATATGTGAGAACTAAAAGTGTGAAAGTGAATTGGGTAAGCGAGACGTTAACATGCACGTTAATAGCAGATGAAACCCCGCTCGAAAGCAAGGAGGATACCGACAAAAAACGCCGGAGAATTTTCAATCGATAGCTGGGATTAGTGTTAAAATTTGATTTAGGACTTTGATTATCTCGAGATTTGTTTCGAGATCATTAGAGCGAATAGATTGCAGTAAGTATCAAGAACAATCGCACATCATCATGAATAGACTGCAGTTTTGCGCATCTCATGCAAGATACAGGAGTTGCATAGAACTTTCTTTCTTTCTTTTGTTAATGATTTTAATAAACTCGTTCACCTTTCCACTGTTTGAAATTTGACGTAGAAAATTTTGTAATACATGCAAAAACTCGGAGTCTAATCATGCGTAATTTAAAGGAGAAATATAGGACAGTTTGCAATACGGGGGGACGTGTAGTAATAAATAGTATTTAAACTGAAAGCACAGGTAACCCGAGGAGCAAGAGGGTGCAAAAAAGAGGGGATTAGCCGAAATATTCGAAGGAAAAACGGTCAAACAAAGACCGCTGTATCGAAGTTGGTTGGAGACGTAGACGGGGAATATCGGTAATTTTGTTAGTGAGGAGCATTAATTGGCTGGCAGGATTCTCGGCCAGGATCCGATTTCCTTTAAAAGCAGATATCGAATCGTTCCGATGCAATTTCCCAGATAGAGTGGCTCAAGACCATATCGACTACCGTTAATCTAAGGAACATGGCGTAGAGCTCGGACAAAATTCGTTGTACATATTCGTAGGAAACGCGATTTTACTTTTACTACGAGAAGTCTAGTCGAGTCTAGTTGAGGCGCGACGAGTCCAGGAGGAATACTGTAATCTCCGACCGAAAAATTCGACGAGTAGTCCGGTGGAGTCCGGTCGAACGACGATACCTTCGACGACTGGTTTCCTTCCTCGCTTCTACGCGGTCGTTCCCGTGCATGTTGTGCGCTGTATATGCTTTATATGCCGTATACGATGTGTACGCGTGCACGCGAACGAAAGACACGTGTCCTGTTTTCTCGTTTGCTCGTTTGCACTTTTGCTCGCTTGCTCGCGAACGAAGTTCCGTTATCCCGCCACACAGTGAATATACACCGGGCGTCCTGTTCCTTTTGCCCGCGCTGAAAATAAACAATGTACGGAGCAGAGATCCTAGCGTTATTGATATCGCGCGCAGACACTGAACCGGCAAGTCGCTCGCTGTCGCCGCTCGCTCCCTTGGAACCTAGAACTCTAGATCACGGTTTTCTCAACCTTCTCGTCTACGTAAATTAAATACATGTATGCGTATACATAATTATTTAGTATAATATTGTTTTTTAGTATATTTTAGACCTCTATGTCCGGCTATTGGTCAGACCTCGTCCAGACTTGGTAAACAACTCTGGTATTGAATTGATTCCGTGCTTTCGTTTGATTCTCTCACGGTATTTTATTTATAGAAGATCATGATAAAGACGTTTATAGTGTTCTCGCGAGTCAGTTATATTAAGAAAGTCCGTAAAATCAATCGAGAGACCGTACTTAGTCCGCGTATATGTCGGAAGGAGGAAATCAGTCGTTTCGTAATGGACTTGCCGAAGTTAGGCCAACCGCGCGGACGTACCGTTTTCAAGTATAACTGTGCACGCGGCGTAAATGCCATTTGCAACTCTTATTAATGTACTTAGTATAAACACAGGCCAGATGTCGTGTTAACCAAATTGAGAATCCTATTCGAAGGATTAATATTAGAGAAAACGAGAGACATGTTCGTGAGACAGCGGATTGTTCAAATTAATCAATTTGGTAACATCAATCTTGCTTACTCTGCCATGTATATAATGGTTGAATTTGTATTAAACGCGAAGGAAGCAGCTTCGAAGAAAATCAAAGCTCTACGGATAAAAGGAAACAATGTGTTTTCTAGGCGAAATAGGTTTAGCTAGGAATGATTAATGGACGATTGGGAAACGGTTACGCGACAGCTGCATCGGAAAGTAGGAACACGAAAACGTGTAATCAGTGCGCGTAGTAGGGTGGTGGAGACGTCGCAACAACCAGGACGTATCTGCATAATCTGCGCTCGAGAGCTTGATCGCAGCTTCTGGCATATGGTGAGGGGTGCAGCGTGCAGAGAGGTACCGAAGGGCAGTGAAAACCGTGACGGAACGGCCGGGGGCTCGCGGAGATGGGGTTGAATTAGGCGTTTAACCGTGCGATCGCATGAGTGAGTAATTCGAATCGATCGTAAAATCTGTCTCGTCCGCGTTTCGCCGCGTCCGTGTTCACGCCGCTTCGCGTCGTCTCACGTCGCGTCGCGTCGCGTCGTCTCGCGCGAATTCAAAAGAAAAATCGATTCGACCGAGCCTAGCGTCATCGTTTCGTATCGATTCGATCATGACGCGAGAACTCCTGACAAATCAAACAGATACATATTCCTCGTCTTTGAAGGCTATGCTAACAAATGTAAACGATTGAAAATCGAATTTTCTTTCTTGCATTTTTACTTTGCACTGTAGCGGCATCCTATCGCTGTATGTCTGTTTCGTTTGTAATCGCTGCAGTCGTCTTCTATCTTATTTATAAAATTTAGCAGTGCCTAATTGCACTTCGTTGATGAAAATACCGATTGAACTAGCTGAACGGGGGTTTGCAGTAATAATGCTGTATTTTTTTAGCGGCCGCCGCTCGTGACGAGGGGGTGAAAATAGTCCCCGAAACTGGGGTTGCAAGCCACATGTCATTTTCATCCCTCGCGTACAAACGATAGCGAGAGTTCTATAAAAATCGGAGGGGGGACTACTTTGCTACGGAAAGTTTCCGGTTGCTCGTGCGACCGATTCCGATCAGTATAACGATTCGCGACTGCTGTTCGAGACTACATATTCAGCGATTAGGCGATCGCGCACCGATGATTCAACGGATCCAGCACGTTCGAGACTCGATCCGACGCGACGCGACACGACTTCTCGTTTTTTAAACTCGCCGATTACAATTAAAATTTCTGCCGACTGTCTATCCCACGTTTCGCCACTGTTCTACCGTGCTTCAACTTTTCCCCTGATTTCCACGAGGACCTTACTTTCTCAACGGTTCTCTCTCCCTGTTTCTCTACGCGCTAGGGGACAATTCCAAGGGTTTCGGCTACCTCGACGATGCAGTTCTTGTTTATCATCCACAGCGAGTCGAGGTTTCGGCGAGGAAACATGTTCGTGTATATGTTAGGCGCGTACGATCTATTTGTGTGTAGAAGTCGGTAGCAATTCGAGACTATAAAAATGCGCAGGGTCGCGGCGCGAGCGAAGGTGAAACGTAACAGAGTAGGGCATTCCTCTTTCACGATTTCATTAACCCAATTCTCATGGTTGTAGTCGTCGTGTTAGGGCGATGCGTGGGCGGAAGGACACGCACGTTTCTCGCAGTGACTCCGTCCGTTGCGTATAGGTGGTAGTTCCGCGTGCGTTTGTTACCGATTCAACCCCTTGTTCTCGAGCCCTCTGAAATTATTCAAGCAAGACGATCAACGGTCCTATCGGTTGGTTAAAAACAAAACTGTTACCAGTAAATGCTTTTGGTGTTGCAGGCGGATTTGATTTGCAAATTGTTGTTATCCGGGGCGTGCGAGAATTTCGAGCGTCAGCATCGCCGGTCAGAAGATCAGCTTGCGAAGGAAGTACATCGAGATTATTCGTCCGGACAAAAGAATCACGGTTTCACAATGGAGATCAGGCAGAACCTACCGATATCGGCTCCACTATGACCTTAGCCAAACGCAAACCAATACACCGGGATTCTCTGGTTCGGTGCATTTGTAACGAGGTCCCCGAGGAACGATCGCGTTCAATCGCACTCTCAGCAAACGGCCGTCGCGCGCGCGGATAGATTTCAAGGTGTTCGCTGCGAACGTTGACGTAATCGGCAACCTGTTCTCGTTCTCAATGACGTAAGAAACTAGTCCCACGGAGGACACCCAGCTCTACCGTAGCCTAACAAAAAGAAAAAAAGAAAAAGACAATTACGTGTCCGTATTTAAAAATGAACGCATTTGCTTCCGTTTTCGCAGCCTGGCCGGGGTCAGATAGATTCGAACGGAGCCTCCTCGGATCTCCCGTGTACAGTTCGTCAGCGGCGACGCATCGCGATCACGATCACGATCACGACTTCCGTTGGCCGTAACGCGGACCGGCTAACCATTTAATGAATCCTGCCGGTTTAAAAGGCGACGTTCGCACGTTACTATTTATAGATATCTCGATGGAAAAGAGATGCTGCCGCGAATCACGATAGCGGCGAACAATTTGCGCGCGTGACAGCGACACGCATCCGGTAGCCAGAAGGTGGTAACAGGCTCGCACGACATTTCCGTCTCACTTTTTAATTAGCCGCTCCATCAAGATAGCCGTAGTAGTAGTTTGGGGATCTTTCAATTTCCTCTGGATCTATGGACGATCACCGTGACCACACGATCGGAGCTCGGGACACGAGAAACACGGATCTCCGAGCTTCTCGGAGTTGTTTTTACCACATTGCTTTATCCGACTTCGTAAGCCTGAACACGCTCATCAAAGATGTGGATTCAGCGGGGAAGAGAGCGTGCGCAATTTTCACGGTGCGAACCGTAAACGGGAAACGCGACGCCTGTTCTCGTCGCGTCGGCGAGCGAAAACGTTCGAAGCTTCCGTGACCTGTCGTTGACCCAGTTAGGGTTGCCATTTCCAGTGCACGCACAGCGTGCTTCGCCGCGTTTATTCCGCACACTCGAAGGCCGATTCCAAGATAATTGGAAAGTGGCTGACCCGGCGCGTCTCTTGGAATCGCGGTGACCGGTAAAAAGTCTCTAAACCAGGACCGCTTAGGAAAACCCTCGTGCGTTGTATACCAACGCGTTTGCTGTTCGGCTGCATTGAAACGGTCATTGGAAAGCCCGCTGATATTCGGAATTTAAAATCGTTCGAGCAGTCCAAGATCGAGAAATAGAAGGAGAAAAAACATCAGCGTAGCCGCGCTCTACTTAAGGGAGGAAAGGGATTGGCAAATAGGCGGCAATATTTTGCTCGAGTCGTCGTCTCAATTACCTGTCCGATAATTCAGGAGTAATTCGTTTCATTTCGATTCCGACATCTTCTTGGAATAATTGAGACGTTCTAGACACGACTGTCCCGCCAACCGTGCAGACCACTCCATCGACTCTGTCGACGAAAAACGAACGAGAAAAATTCGAGATCGTCCCTTGGAACGATTCGAAGAGAGAACAAGATTCCCTGGGGTGGAAATGTCTGTCCATCGAGCGACAGCGGAAGAGTTGAAGCCGAATCAGAATCGTTAAAGCCACGCACGCGACAGTCGCCGGTGAGCTCGTAAGCCGTTAATTCGCATTTCCTTTTCGACAGCGACAAGTCTGTCGCAAAGACGGTTAGCGCTGTTGTACCGGTTGGAACGTCCGCGAGGGTGGAACCGGCCTGTTGAACGAAATAGGCGGACGTTTAATTATGAGCGTAGGTGGAACGAGCAGCCGGAGAGAATCGTTAGGTGACCGAATGCGATGCCGCGTCATCCTCTCGTTCTCTTCTCGGTGGCACACAATTACACCGGCCGCTAATCAATTCAGGGAAATCGGAGGAGAAACGACGGTTGATTTGTTCGTCCGCGACTGCGTTTGTCCGGCCGTTTTAGCGTTAAACCACCGTTCCTTATTCCCGGAGCAGAACGAACACTTGAACCCGATGGGTTATAGGGGTGGGCGCGCGTTAAGTGTGTATGAAACGCTCGAAGCTTTTTGCGTCCGCGGATACACGGTTCTTCAATCTTCGTCGAGGAATTAAAGAGACTCGGATTTTTTCATAAAAAACAGCTACGAGCTTCGCCGGAACCTTTGTCGCGCGTAGAATAAACGTGGACTGTTGGCCTGTCATCTTCCCTCGTTTCCACGACGCGGTGGTATGGGATCCTGTAAACACTTCGGGAGACTTAATTTCGCTAATTCGCTTCGGGGGAAGGACATGCTTAACGCTGAAACTACCAGACGGCCGTGGAATCTCGACGATCGTGGAGCAGCGAGATAGCGAAACGATAGATTTGCATTTGCAAAAGGGTTTATTTGTACAATATACAAGAAGTTGAACGGCGAAGAATTAATTGCTGCTAGATAGACGTGTCCTTCCGATTGTACCGGCGAATGCGATATTGTTGCCAAAATATCTGTAGGGAATGGATCGTAAAGCGGATCTATTAATAATGACCGTATATATTCTGTTGCGGGGCCGAAATGCAACGCGTGCATCGTGCCTCGTATGCGCGTACGTGTAAATAACTTGACACGATGTACGCTGATTGCTGCGTGCGACCGTGACAAATTGATGCGCATATGCACCGAATACGCCTCTCGACTCTCGAGTTGCCAGATGATGGAGCGATTCGCGATGATACTGGCGCATCTTTCCGGTATAACACAAACACGTGCGTTCGCCTTGGCACGAATTCTTAAGGTCGTGAGATTCTTGGAATTCGCGATTCTTCATAGAAATTAATGCGTCTCGTGAATACATTCCACGCTCTATGAATTTAGTCCTCAAAAGGCAGGGGGTTCAACTTCTTGGAAACGATGACCACCGAGCGACCTTGACGAAAGACCCGACGATACAGCCTAATGGTCGAGATCCTCGTCGCATTCGCGACGAATTCTGTTTCTTTCTCGTTTATTCATTGACCGCGTAATATTGTAATATCGTTGATGTTTCGTTTTCAGAACCCAGTCGTTGAGAATCGAACCGGAAGCGCCGAGCGTTGTCGCGTCAATCGTTCGTCTTGTACCGTTGCCGATGGAGTAAGTGGAATCCTAATCCGTGTTCTACGTATCCTATTCTAGATTTCTCAATTGATTCCAAATGATTAATTAAAGATTGTTTTTCTTTAGATATAGGTAAAAGCGGGGGCTCAAAAGATGGCGATAGGTGGAGGATCGTCAGCGTAATAGACGACCGTGTGTCGTTCGAAACTGCTAGACCCTTCGTACACCGATCAACAGAAAATTTGCCCCCAATATATTAGATATGACAATATCGGCGTCTACCGAAAGGATGGAGACCACGAAAGACCTGCCGAAGAAGAAGCTTATCAACACCAATCTCCTATCGTTGAAGCTCCTATTATTTCTCTTCTTTGGTGGTACAGTGACTAACTATACTTTACTGTATAATATATATATGCAATATTGTACAATAGTATAGAATTATTTTAAAAATGAATTTAGGGTATTTAATATATATATATATATATATATATATATATATATATATATATATA